TCCCCCATCCTGGTCGGATCCAAGTTGGAAACATGTCTTGACATGCCACGGAGTTTCCCTCCGGCCATGTCACTGGGGGTCGTTGCTCCTCAGTTGTTCACCAGACACGGGAGTGTGAGGGGTGCACCGCTCCTCCCGCCAGCATGTCCACTCAACTCCAACACCCTATATTTGCTAACTGGCTCAATAAAATTACCACCCAACATATATACATATGTTCACTATGATCGTTGGGCACATGATCAAACACTGATAGCTAATCTAACAACTGATTAAACAGCCTTAATGCAGGGATCTATGACGCAGGGTGCTCACTCCCTGGTGCTCAACATGACGCTCACACAGGCCGCCCACAAAAATCGCTATAAGACTGCTTCACAAGGCTTCTTCTAGTCCTGACTTGAGTACATTGAGTCGCCCAGCAGGCTCCACAACAGAAACGCCTGCTTACTTCCTTCCTCTTGAAGGAGCACACATAATTACAATTCCACAAAGGTCTAACTCCTGTTCTAACTCTTCTAACTCTTACCAATGCTCACTTCCAGGTCGCCTCTAATTTATCCAAATCACAGAGAAATGGTGTACTGTGTCCCCAACAGCTTCCTCACACTTGCGAGCAAGTACCCTTCACTCCACCACTATCACAGGGAACTATTTTCTTCCTCCTTTCAGGAGATCAACAAAGTACAACAATCTCTGACAACTGCTGTAGTTCAGATGAGGTCACAACGTCCTGCTAGCTTCATGTCATGTTACCAAAGTATCGACATCTCGTTTCATGTTACTTATTACCAGATGCTCATTCTCTGCTAGTATTTTTAAATTATTCACTGGCATTTATTTTATATTTTCTTTCTCTGACTTCTTAATCTCAGGTCCGGAAAGCAGAATAACTCTCCCTGGGTAGACTCGCTCCACCATGATACATGGGGTTATAATAGGGGGAAGGGAGGGTTGACTGAGCATTTGAGTAGGGGCAGGGAGGGTTCAAGACAGGGAGGGTTTCTGTGTGGAGGAGGGTGGTGGTGATGGCCTTCCGTCTGGTGTTGCTGGGATGCTGGTTGTGGGTTCCCCCCTTGCCTCTGGGAATGTTGTGTTGGGGGCTGTGATTTCCTGGTTTTCTCCTCACACACTGCACTTCATCCTTGCTTTTGTTGCCATGGCGCTCTCCTCCCTCGACCTGTTCCTCTGGAGGAATACTTTTTTGTATTCTCCCACATATTGCAGATGACTCTTCCTTGCTAGAATATCCTCCTTCAGGGTCTTGTTTGCAAACACTATCTTTATCAGGTGGTCTCTGTCCTTGTTGTACCAGCCCAACCTGAAAAACTCCTCAATGTTTTTTTGGCCCCTTCCATCTTTAACCCCTTTAGCATTCCATTCACTGCCTCTCTGTCCTTACTATTCCATTCTTGCCTATTGGAGCCTTCCTGTTACACACACAAATCACAATAGTGTGATGCATCAAATGAACAAATCCACAAGGGCCGTGATGAGGGTTTGCACCTACATCTTAGCAAATCCCAGATGCTGCCTTAATCGACTAGGCCATGACATGGTCAAAAGAATTGCAACCGGGAGTTCATTTTCCTTCTCATGGATCCTGCAGTCTCTCCACGACACAAACCCAGGGTTTTACACAATTCCCCCATGCACTCGGGCTCTGTCAGATCCTCTCAGACATAGGTTCGAACCCTCATCACGGCCCTTGTGGATTTGTTCACGAGCCTTCCTGTTCTCTGATGCCCAGAGCTACCACTGATCTTTTTCTTTCCAGCAGCTGACTGGTGCACCCTGCTGCTTCCTGTGAGGTAGCTGCTTGCATGGCTACCTCCCTCACTGTGGCCATTGCTTCTGAGCTCTTTTCCAGAATTTCAGCAAATGTTTCACATACAGAGGCATTCCTTTCCGATGAACCATTGCCATCATCCCTTTGATGATTATCTGAGGTTCAGTCTCCATATTGTTCTCACTGAGGGTTTTTAATCTCTTCCTTTGCTGGGTCAACTCACTTTGCAGGTTGTTTATTTTATACTTCATTTCATGCATCTCCTTCCTGATTTCCTCCCAAACTTGGGAGAACATTTCCTTCATTTGGTCAATTTGACTTTTTCCTGTGCTCTTGGTGTGTGTACTTACCTAATTACTCACCTAGTTGTGTTTGTTGGGGTTGAGCTCTGGCTCTTTGGTCCCGCTTCTCAACCATCAATCATCTGATGTACAGATTGCTGAGCCTACTGAGCGTCATCTTATCTACATTTGAAGCTGTGTTTGGAGTCTGCCTCCACCACATCACTGCCTAATGTGCATTCCACCAGTTAACAACTCTGACACTGAAAAAGTTCTTTCTAATGTCCCTGTGGTTCATTTGGGCACTTAATCTCCACATATGTTCCCTTGTTCCTATACCACCCATGTTAAAAAATTTATCCTTATCTACTCTGTCAATTCCTCAGAGAATTTTATCAGTAGTGATCATGTCTCCCCTTACTCTTCTGCCTTCCAGTGTCACTGTGTGTGTGTGTGTGTGTGTGTGTGTGTGTGTGTGTGTGTACTCACCTAGTTGTACTCACCTAATTGTGCTTGCGGGGGTTGAGCTCTGGCTCTTTGGTCCCGCCTCTCAACCGTCAATCAACTGGTGTACAGATTCCTGAGCCTATTGGGCTCTATCATATCTACATTTGAAACTGTGTATGGAGTCAGCCTCCACCACATCACTTCCTAATGCATTCCATTTACTAACTACTCTGACACTGAAAAAGTTCTTTCTAACGTCTCTGTGGCTCATTTGGGTACTCAGCTTCCACCTGTGTCCCCTTGTTCGCGTCCCACCAGTGTTGAATAGTTCATCCTTGTTTACCCGGTCGATTCCCCTGAGGATTTTGTAGGTTGTGATCATGTCCCCCCTTACTCTTCTGTCTTCCAGTGTCGTGAGGTGCATTTCCCGCAGCCTTTCCTCATAACTCATGCCTCTTAGTTCTGGGACTAGTCTAGTAGCATACCTTTGGACTTTTTCCAGCTTCGTCTTGTGCTTGACAAGGTACGGGCTCCATGCTGGGGCCGCATACTCCAGGATTGGTCTTACATATGTGGTGTACAAGATTCTGAATGATTCCTTACACAGGTTCCTGAACGCCGTTCTGATGTTAGCCAGCCTCGCATATGCCGCAGACGTTATTCTCTTTATGTGGGCTTCAGGAGACAGGTTTGGTGTGATATCAACTCCTAGATCTTTCTCTCTGTCTGTTTCATTAAGTACTTCATCTCCTATTCTGTATCCTGTGCCTGGCCTCCTGTTTCCACTGCCTAGTTTCATTACTTTGCATTTACTCGGGTTGAACTTCAACAGCCATTTGTTGGACCATTCACTCAGTCTATCCAGGTCATCTTGTAGCCTCCTACTATCATCCTCTGTTTCAATCCTCCTCATAATTTTTGCATCGTCGGCAAACATTGAGAGGAACGATTCTATACCCTCTGGGAGATCATTTACATATACCAGAAACAGTATAGGTCCAAGGACTGACCCCTGCGGGACTCCACTTGTGACGTCTCGCCAATCTGAGGCCTCACCCCTCACACAGACTCGTTGTCTCCTGTTGCTTAGGTATTCCTCTATCCACCGGAGTACCTTCCCTCTCACTCCAGCCTGCATCTCCAACTTTCGCACTAGCCTCTTGTGTGGTACTGTATCAAAGGCTTTCTGACAATCCAAAAATATGCAGTCTGCCCACCCTTCTCTTTCTTGCCTTATTTTTGTTGCCTGGTCGTAGAATTCAAGTAACCCTGTGAGGCAGGACCTGCCATATGTGTGTGTGTGTGTGTGTGTGTGTGTGTGTGTGTGTGTACTCACCTAGTTGTACTCACCTAGTTGTGTTTGCGGGGGTTGAGCTCTGGCTCTTTGGTCCCGCCTCTCAACCGTCAATCAACAGGTGTACAGATTCCTGAGCCTATCGGGCTCTGTCATATCTACACTTGAAACTGTGTATGGAGTCAGCCTCCACCACATCACCCCCTAATGCATTCTATTTGTCAACCACTCTGACACTAAAAAAGTTCTTTCTAATATCTCTGTGGCTCATTTGGGCACTCAGTTTCCACCTGTGTCCCCTTGTGAGTGTTCCCCTTGTGTTAAATAGACTGTCTTTATCTACCCTATCAATTCCCTTCAGAATCTTGAATATGGTGATCATGTCCCCCCTAACTCTTCTGTCTTCCAGCGAAGTGAGGTTTAATTCCCGTAGTCTCTCCTCGTAGCTCATACCTCTCAGCTCGGGTACTAGTCTGGTGGCAAACCTTTGAACCTTTTCCAGTTTAGTCTTATCCTTGACTAGATATGGACTCCATGCTGGGGCTGCATACTCCAGGATTGGCCTGACATATGTGGTATACAAAGTTCTGAATGATTCTTTACACAAGTTTCTGAATGCCGTTCGTATGTTGGCCAGCCTGGCATATGCCGCTGATGTTATCCGCTTGATATGTGCTTGATATGTGTGTGTGTGTGCAGTGGGTGAGTGTCTATAGTGGGTGAATGTATAGTGCCTCACCACCACACATCACCAACACCCATCACCAATCACCATTACCCATCACCACCGCCCATCACCACCACCCCCCACCACCACCCATCACCACTACCCATCACTACCACCCATCACCACCACCCCTCACCAACACCCATCACCAACACCCATCATCACTACGAAGCCTCATCAACACCCATCACCACCGCCTATCACCCATTACCACCACCAATCATAACCACCACCCATCACCATCATTCATCACCACCATCACTCACCACCACCCCGCTCCCCCCCCCACCCCATCACCACCACCCATCACCAACAAAACTATTACACCACAACTCTCCTCACACGACTGCCAGCTTCTACTTATATAAATATTTAATTCATTACGATATTGGTATTTGTAATATAATAAAGTAGTTATCAGTGTTGGTGGAGCGCCGCTGCTACAGTCCTCTCCCCCACAGTATGAGGAAGCTGTGGTGTGCAGCAGTGTTGGTGGTGACGCTGGTGAGTGTGGTGAGGCCTCAGTGTATCTCCAACAATGACAAGCTGGTGGTGACCTCCCCACCTGACCTGGCCCACATCACCCCCTTCAGCTTGGACCTCTTCAAGCAGCTCTATCCACCCACCGCCACAGGAAACTTTTTCTTCTCGCCCTACAGCGTGTGGACCGCCCTGGTCCTGGCCTACTTTGGGTCTGCTGGCAGGACTCGTCAGCAGCTGCAGGACACCCTTCGTCTCAGAGACCCTTCAACCACTCTGGCTACCTACAGGGCCCTCGACCGTCTGTGAGTCCACTCACATTCCTCACTTGTCATCTTAACTATTATATGTATAATTAAATATTTGAGTCCTCTTTAACTTGTTATTTATGAGCGTTTAGAAACGCATGTATTATATATAATAATTAAGATGCCCCTACAGAACCGCAGAGAGACAGAGCAACACGAGTGACTATGTGATAGACTTGGCCAACAAAGTGTATGTGAAGAACAGCATTCCTCTTCGGGACTGCATCAGAGATGTCCTTAAGAAAGAGGTGGAGAACATCGACTTCTCACAGGTCAGTCTATTTCTGCATATCACCTTCTGTCTATATTTATTTGTGAAATATTATAATTCACATGAAGCCTCCTGGCCTCGTTACCAGTGTGACAGCAGGGTAGAGTACTTCAAGAGTCCCTCAAGTCCTCGTTACCAGTGTGACAGCAGGGTAGAGTACTTCAAGAGTCCCTCAAGACCTCGTTACCAGTGTGACAGCAGGGTAGAGTACTTCAAGAGTCCCTCAAGACCTCGTTACCAGTGTGACAGCAGGGTAGAGTACTTCAAGAGTCCCTCAAGACCTCGTTACCAGTGTGACAGCAGGGTAGAGTACTTCAAGAGTCCCTCAAGACCTCGTTATCAGTGTGACAGCAGGGTAGAGTACTTCAAGAGTCCCTCAAGACCTCGTTATCAGTGTGACAGCAGGGTAGAGTACTTCAAGAGTCCCTCAAGACCTCGTTACCAGTGTGACAGCAGGGTAGAGTACTTCAAGAGTCCCTCAAGTCCTCGTTACCAGTGTGACAGCAGGGTAGAGTACTTCAAGAGTCCCTCAATGCCTCGTCAACAGTGTGACAGCAGGGTAGAGCACTTCAGGAGTATCTCCTAGCCTCGTCAACAGTGTGACAGCAGGGTAGAGTACTTCAAGAGTGCAGACGAGGAGTCACAATAACGTGACTGAAATATGTTGACGAAACCCACACACTAGAAAGTGAAGGGACGACGACGTTTCGGCCCGTCCTGTACGGGCGCCAGAGAGCTGAGTGGATAGCGCTTCGGATTCATAGTCCTGAGGTTCCGGGTTCGATCCCCGATGGAGGCGGAGACAAATGGGCAAAAAGTTTCTTTCATCCTGATGCCCCTGTTACCTAGCAGTAAATAGGTACCTGGGCCCGTACCTGCTGGGTACGGGCCCAGGTACCCGCAGGGCCCCCATACCCCCAGAAACAGCCTGTAGCAGCCCAGCTGCTACGGGCTGCTTCCTGGGGGGTATGTAACAAAAAGGAGGTCTGGTTGAAGACCGGGCCGCGGGGACGCTAAGCCCTGAAATCATCTCAAGATATCCTAGATATACCATTCTCAAGTCGATTGTGATGAGAGAAGGAGGCGAAGGCAATAAATTGGCAAGAGAGAGATAAGGAGAAGGAAATCATAGAGGAGGAAAAAGCAAGGCAAAAGGTACGAAAGGTAAAGTATAATAAAGGAATAAGAATAATTCTTAAAAAATAAAGGAATAAGAAATAATTCTTAAAAAATAAAGGAATAACAAATAATTAAAATATAATAAAGGAATAAAAAAAAGGATCGTTAGAGAAAACAAGGAAAAAAAAGAAAGAAACAAACTAAGATAAATGTAAGGGTAAGCCTACATTAGGTCACGCTTGTTAGAAAGTTTAGAGCAGTTGAGTATATACTGTGAAAGGTGAGAGTCAACAGCAATAAAACCAGGACTCAAGTTCATGTTGGTTATGTTGTGTATCAGAGCCGATTCAACACGACGGCGTCTGTGTAGAGGCAGGAAAGATTATTTTGAAGGAAGACCAGTCAATAGAATGATTAGAATCCCAAACATGACAGAAGAGAGCATTGTTTGTGTCTGCAGACTTAACACTTCTTTGTGTTCTTTAAGTCTGTCATTAAGTGTACGGCCAGTTTCACCAAAGTATTGGAGAGGACAAGACGAACAGGAAATAGATTAGACACCAGCGGCATTAGAAGCAGGAGGAGCAGTGTGAACTAGATTGCTGCGAAGTGCGTTAGTTTGTCGAAAGGTGAGTTTTATGTCAAGAGGACGAAAGGTATTAGTAAACGTTTTGAGTTCAGATATGAAGGGAAGGCAGAGCACAGTGCTACTAGAGTTGGAAGCAGGTTTAGCATGAAAGAAATTTCGATTAGCTTGAGAGTAAGCACAGTATATAAAATACAAAGGGTAACCAAGGCGAGAGAATGATTTGTAGATAAAGGCAATTTCAGAATCAAGAAACTGAGGGTCGCTGATGCGTAGAGCGCGGAGGAAGAGAGAGACGAGGACACTTTTCTTAACAGAAGGAGGATGGTAGGAAAAGAAGTGAATGTACATGCCGCTATGCAGTGGTTTGCTGTAGACAGAGAAAGAGAACCCGGACACAGAGCTGTGAACGTGAACGTCAAGAAAAGGAAGGAGGGAATTAGATTCTTATTCAACTTTGATATGGATGGAAGGAGCCTGATTGTTAAGAGAGGAGAGGAAAGGCTGGAAAAGACTAAGGTCATGAGGTCATAAAGAAAAATTTAATCAACATAGCGAAGCCAGAGAGAGAGACGAGTATCAATAGAAGGAAGAAGTAAAAGAACAGTCTCGAAGTATTCCATGTAGAAATTGGCAAGAACAGGGGAGAGAGGGGAACCGATAGCGACACCGAAAGTTTGAGTGTAATATTTACCGTTGAAAGAGAAGGAGAGTCAACACAGAGTCTAATGAGTTTAAGGAAAACGTCAGTGGGAAGCGGGAGAGGAAGAAGGACCCCAGTAGCCTTCTGTCTAAGGAAAGAGAGAACGTCATCGAGGGGAACATTAGTGAACAGAGAGTCGACATCGTGACTAAGCATCTTACAGGATGGCTACAGGCGCAGTCTTTCTATTAAGTCCTGAGCGTGATGAAGGTGGGCAGGAGAAAAAGTGCCAAGGTAAGGCGTCAGGGTTTTAGCGAGCCAGTAGGCAAGAGGATAGCCGACAGAGCCCCGTGAATAAATGATTGGACGAAGAGGAACACCAGGTTTATGAGTCTTAGATAGACCCTAAAAATAAGGAAGAGAAGGGCAGATGACACGGAAACGTTTATTGAGATCGAAGTCAGGAGGACAAAGACTAGAGAGCTGTCTTAGTTTGCGGTTAAAGGAAGCTTTAAGGCGATCCAAAGGGTTAGAAGTTTAGTGGACACCAGTTAGTTAGTAGACACCATGTTATGGTGTCTTGTGCACTATCACTAAGGTCTTGTCTGAACACCTGAGCTGTGGTCACCACCATGTTATGGTGTCTTGTGCACCATCACTAAGGTCTTGTCTGAACACCTGAGCTGTGGTCACCACCATGTTATGGTGTCTTGTGCACCATCACTAAGGTCTTGTCTGAACACCTGAGCTGTGGTCACCACCATGTTATGGTGTCTTGTGCACCATCACTAAGGTCTTGTCTGAACACCTGAGCTGTGGTCACCACCATATTATGGTGTCTTGTGCACCATCACTAAGGTCTTGTCTGAACACCTGAGCTGTGGTCACCACCATGTTATGGTGTCTTGTGCACTATCACTAAGGTCTTGTCTGAACACCTGAGCTGTGGTCACCACCATGTTATGGTGTCTTGTGCACTATCACTAAGGTCTTGTCTGAACACCTGAGCTGTGGTCACCACCATGTTATGGTGTCTTGTGCACCATCACTAAGGTCTTGTCTGAACACCTGAGCTGTGGTCACCACCATGTTATGGTGTCTTGTGCACCATCACTAAGGTCTTGTCTGAACACCTGAGCTGTGGTCACCACCATGTTATGGTGTCTTGTGCACCATCACTAAGGTCTTGTCTGAACACCTGAGCTGTGGTGACCACCATGTTATGGTGTCTTGTGCACTATCACTAAGGTCTTGTCTGAACACCTGAGCTTAGATTCTCTACAACAGTTAACTTCCAGTCCTCTGAAATTGGATTCAGAAAACTTTTTTCTTAAAATCCAAAGAACTTCTTTATGTTACTTCTCTAACTCTCCCCCTTGAAAGGTCGGTAGAAACTATTGTCAGCTTATAATGTGATGGATTGAAGAGTCACGTAAAGGCACTGAGCTTAATCTTATCGTTATTTTGACAGGCGGATAAAGCAGCTGCGACAATCAACCAGTTTGTGAACAAAACAACGCGAGGCAAGATCCCAACTGTGGTGACAGAGAGCGACGTGGCACCGACACTGATGGCGCTGGTCAACGCCGTCTACTTCAAAGGTTTCTGGTTGAATCAATTCAACCTAACCCAAACAACCAAGCAGAAGTTCTTCACCACCCCGAGCCAACACAGCCTTGTTGACATGATGACCCAACATGGAAAATTCAGATTTGGTAAGGTTATATATACATATGCATATGTAAATGCATATGTATATATATATATATGTATATATATATATATATATATATATATATATATATATATATATATATATATATATATATATATATATATATATATATTGTGACGGTAACGCGTTGGTGTTCGGCTGTTTAAGGCTAGGGGTATGGCCTCGTCACATAGTTATAAAAAAAAATAGAAAAACTGGAACTTCGTCTGTGGTAAGGTAAGGAGAAGACACACAAAACACAAGTAAAACTTTAACAATGAAATTTTAATTACGTTAAATAAATCAAAACATGAAAATAATGCACAAACAAATATGTATAATAAAATCAATGAATCAAAAATAATAAGAATACTTAAATGACACAATGAAAGTTACGTTAAGGCAAAATAATAAGAAGTGCAACACAAAAGTAAGTGGGAGGTGCTGGAATATTGGCTTAAAGCCACCACCTCTCTCAGTACACGCTAACGTCTAGCTGGGAGGAGTGCTGGCTACGAAAGCACGGAACATTCTGAGGACTGATGTTGGGGCGACCCCAGACATCAGGTAGTATTGGGGGCGAGTGCAGGTGCAGCCAGACCGGCGACCAATCAGCGGAGCCGTAGCGATCAACGGGTAGTTTGGTGGTTGGCGTTCGAACAGGTGGCTGGTTGCATACGTTTCTGCTCACCCTGGCAAGCCTTGCTGGTGCTGGTGTTGTCGTTGTTGGACATTTCTTCCATAGTCTTTTATATAGTTGTGAAGACGTAATTATGGAGGGAAGAGCAGGCTCAATCTCTTGAAGGAGATTATCGTCACAACTCTCCCCCGAAGCCTGCGGTTCTGGAAGAAGTACGTCGTTATGTGGTGGAGTAATGGATGGAGTTGCTTCTACTTCATAAACTCTGGAGAGATCATGGGCTAAGATGTTGTCAGACTCTTGGTATAGCGTGTCTCCAGGTTGAATTTCTGCAGGTAGCAAGCCCATAGTAGAAGACGTTGAGATGAGAAGTGGGCGTGCTGCAGGAGGTGTAGGGTGGTGTGGTCCGTGTTGATGGTGGACCGAGCACTTTTCAGGGGTGGAGTGAAGTGCTGAAGCTTCAGGATGAGGACGAGTAGCTCCTTGCCAATTGTTCCGTCGTTCCTTGTAGCAGTAGTCGCTGACAGGTGTATTCTTCTCGCCTCGTTGCTGCATCACGACACCACCATCGTCGGTACCATTGGCGTCGACATGGAGGATGAAGGGCTTATCTGACGAGGTGAGAGTGGAATTAGAAGAGGGCATAGGAGCACGATTATTATCCTGAAAGCATTTGGGAAGATCATTAAGGATTTCGGAATTAGAAAGCGCTGCCTCCTTGTCAGTGCTTTCGGGAGGAGAAGCTGGGAAGGTCTCACTGTGGATGTAGGGTTCTGTGAATGTGGAATAATTAGTCAAGACAGTGGGAGGAGTACCATTATATTGCTTCAGGAGGTTGACGTGGCACAGCTGGGTCTTCCGCCGCCTATCTGGAGTCTCTATCACATAATTATTATTATTCCTGCACTCTTTGACGCAGTAGGGTCCTGAAAATCTGTTTTGTAAAGGTGAACCTGGGATAGGGAAATAAGCAAGGACGAAGTCTCCCGGCTTGAATTTTCTTACTTTGCTGGTCTGGTCGTAATGAGTCTTCATTCTCACCTGGGCTTTCAATAGATTATCATGGGCAAAGCGGTGGACTCTCTCTAGAATGTGCTGAAGGTTTTGAAGAAACTGGGGCACATTCTGATGCTCACTGAAGGTGGCATCTCTGAGAGAGTCTTTGAAAGCCTTAAGGGGAGTACGGCACTTACGGCCGTAGAGCATCTCATAAGGAGATACTCCTAGGGACTCATTGGGGAGACTTCTGAAAATACACATTATTAGGTCAATCTGCTTATCCCAATCCTTTGAGGTTTCACTACAAAACTTTTTCAAGAGTGCTTTGATGGTCTGATGACTACGTTCAAGAGAACCCTGTGAAGCAGGATGATAGGGGCTGGACAATACCTGTTTGATGTTGAACTCCTCCAGTGTCCTTTTGAAGAGATCACTGGTGAAGTTGGTGCCACAGTCACTTTGAATCTCCCTGGGAAATCCGTATTGAGTGAAGATCTTCAGTAGATGTTTGATAACCGTAGCAGCCGTGATGTTCTTCACTGGAACTGCTATGGGAAATCTGGTGGTAGGACACAGGATGGTTAGGATGTAGGCGTTACCTGAACTGGTCCGAGGTAAAGGACCAACACAGTCTATTATGAGTCTGTGGAAAGGTTCCGCAGGCACCTGTATGGGAATCAGTGGTGCTCTGGGAATGGAGACGTTCGGTTTGCCTGCCATCTGACATGTATGACACTGTTTTACGTACTGTTTGACGTTATTTACCATACCTGGCCAGTAGTAGTCTTGGCGAATCCCATGGTAAGTCTTGTTGAAGCCGTAGTGGGAGAATGCTCCATGGGCCAGGTGTAGAATAGTGGGCCGCAGGCTGGTGGGAATCACAAGTTGTTCGGTGTTGGCCCAATCGTCCTCCTCCTTCAGTTTACTGGGTCTATATCTGCGGTAGAGCAAGTCGTTCTCTAGGAAGAACCCAGGAATACTGTCGGGTTGAGTCTCAGCCTGGAAAAACAATGGTGTTAAAGTAAGATCTTCCCTCTGCAACTTACGGAACTCCAACTTG